ACTCCACAGCAGGGGAGACAAAAGGTAGATGCTTTATAGGCAGGTCAGAACTATTTTAGCCCACTAAAAATGCTACTACATAAATTTAGGACTGCTGAGGTCCTAAAATTAAAAAGAAAAAAAAAATAAAATCCCCTACACTCATTCCTCAGACCAAGGGCTCCAGGGAGCTGAGATTTGCTGCTAGCATCCACAAAAACTCAGAAGTCCCTGGAATAGAAAAAGTCCCTTAAAGGCCAAATACTGTGTGGTGTACTGGTGTGACCTTGGCAGGGTGAAGACTAGCAATAGCGCTAATGACAGCCCACAGGAAGGGAATGCCCTGTTCAGTGGTTTTTAGTTATAGGGCTGAAACGGAGTATTCTCCTAAATTTCTCTCACATAGATGATCTGCAGGTGTGTGCCTGTGCATTTCTCTCAGCTTAGGCCTGTAAATTCCTGTCTGTTTACAAGGAAGGGATTGTTCACTGGTAGGCAGGATGCAGGGCACATACCTATGTCCAAATAAAAATGGACTTACAGATCCACAGCACATTTTTATTCTATTATTCGCCTTAAGGCTTGAAAACATTCTCATACACCTGCACAATATTTTTGTCAAAAAGGAGAAACATCCAGATGCCTTTTATTTTTCTTAGGAGAAGCACAGAGGTCCAATAATTTTGTCTGTTCCAGAAAAACTATTCAGATTTTTTGTGAAAAGTCTAATGCCTAGGACAGCTACCAACTTATTGAAATACAATTTAATTAACTTTTGTAAGAATAAGAATTATATTATACATAATTAAGGTAAAAGGTAGAAATTTCTTCTTGGCTTACTAATGAAATAAACATAATTATTTACTTTTGAGTAATGACAAATCATCCTGGTTTTGGCTAGGATAGAGTTAATTTTCTTCATAGCAGCTAGTATGAGGCTATGGTTTGGATTTGTGCTGGAAACAAGTTTTTTGCTATTGCTGAGCAGCGCTTACACAGAGTCAAGGCCTTTTCGGCTTCTCACACCACCCCACCAGCAAGTGTGCTTCTCACATCACCCACAAGGAGTTGGGAGGGGACACAGCCAGGACAGCTGACCCCAACTGACCAAAGGGATATTCCATACCATATGACATCATGCTCGGCATATAAAGCTGGGGGAAGAAGAAGGAATGGGGGACACATGTTCGGAGCGATGGTGTTTGTCTTCCCAAGTAACCATTACATGTGATGGAGCCCTACTTTCCCGGGGAAGGCTGAACACCTGCCTGACGATGCAAAGTGGTGAATGAATTCCTTGTCTTGCTTTGCTTGTGTGTGCAGCTTTTGCTTTACTTATTTATTGTCTTTATCTCAACCCATGAGTTTTTCTCACTTTTACTCTTTCGATTCTCTCCTCCATCCTGCTGGGGAGGGGAAGAGAGCGAGCAGCTGTCTGCTGCTTAGCTGCTGGCTGGGACAAAACCACGACACAAATAGATCCAGTATTAGAGATTATATGCTTTGAAATAAACTAACACAGTTTTATAGATTTAGCCATTGAAAGATCAATGTGCTTTAGTAGCAAGTTTAAAATGGCAGGTTTTACTCTCTTTTCTGTGAAATATTTTTGTCATAGAACAAAATTTCCTATAATTTTTCTTTTAAAAATAGTTTTTCCGTAACAGGGGGGAAAAAGGAAGGGGAGAGACATTTACAATGCCAAGCTCTTTAGAAAGGGAGGTTACTAGAACACACCTATGCGTGTTTTTTGTATAATATTCAGGAAATAGCTTGTTCAGAAAATATATCATTGCTTCACTAAATTGTTACATAATTATTCTCCTCATTTTGACAACCATTTATAACAACTGCAACAAACATTCACACCTCACCCTTCTCCCAATGTCCCTTCTATACATGTGCAACCAAGGAAGTCGGAGCCAAAGCAAATACGTTCTAGGCAGTTTTATCAAGGGTATTACACAGCATTTCAAAAGAGGCTGATGTAAGCAACAAGGAGCATGGAAAAAAGGTCTGCTTTCTCAAGCTGATTTTTAATAGCAAAAAGGTAACTTCAAAACCTGCTGCCTGATTAGAAGTTATTTTGATTCTCCTGCACAGAAAGCACATCTCAGGCACTAGTGGTCGTACCGCCCAGCATCTCTTCTATTGTCTTTAGCGTAGGGCAATACCGGGTCAAACAGTATGTGTGTGTAATTTGGCACAGCTCCAAAGGAGACAAGCCAACTCATGTCAGCACACAACTTGGCTCCATACATACAAGTAAGAATGAAATGTGCATTAAGCCCTAATCCTTTTTGGGATAGGACTCAGATTTATTCTTTGTTTCTGCACCTTGTTCCAACTGCTCATCAAAGGGCTCTAGCCAAGCCTTTGACATAAAAACATCCCCTGGTTGATGCCCAGGGCTAAAATCTTTAAAGGGTCATTGATTTCCTTATATGACATAACATATATCAACCCCCTGTCCTTGGAAAGGGTATTGCCTTTTTGACTAGAATACAGAAGAGGATTTAAAAAAAGACAAAATTACTACTTGATGCTGAAATTAATGCTTATTGAAGATCTTCAAGTGGAAACTCAAGGTGCAAAGTTTTGTATTCATTCACAGGGCCAATACAGCATAAGGAACCCTTCTTTTGCATCAAGTAGTATGACATGGATAACGGCTTAATTCCCCTGTTCATAAGCATGACAATGACAGCACTGACATACTCTGACAATTTGGGCATGCATGTGCATGCCTGTACATGTGCTAAATATCCACACATTAGCAAGAAGGATAATCCGGGAGCAAAACACAGCTCTCATCTAACAAAACAAACGAGCACCTGCCTAACTGAAAAGAACCTTCCCAACACAAGCTGGAAGTTTTGGTTATGTGTATCCTTAAGTAATTTGCTGTACTGACTTGTATTATACTACTCTCTGAGAGATCCACAGAGAACAATACTGTCTACTTCGTTTTGGGTGAAACCGTGCATCCTACAGAGGCAGTCCTGCTGCATTACGCTTTCCACTGCTATCCTCCCCTAATACACATCTTATTTTCTCCAAAGCAAAAGGCACATAAATACATTTCTGCACATGTGATTTTTAAAAGCTGTTGGTGATGCGTAACCCACAGGTATGACTAAGGAAATATTCAAAATAAAGAAGTTTCTAACCATGGAACTAACATACTGAGAGACTCACAGTGGGCTGAGAGAGCATGAATGTGTGAAGCCGCTTTGCATGAAGTGCTCTCTAAATGCAACTTAGGTTAACACTCAAGGCCTACAAAATTGTAATGACAAAAAAGCTGACACTCAAATCCCACACAGTATTTGCATGAGTTTCATTTTGAAAATAAGTTAAGGTGATGTCTCCGAAATGGCATACAAGACTCACTTTGGCAAATCAGATCTCTAATCTAGAAAGCAATGAGTTTTTCCAAAGCAACCTGGATGGGCTTCCACTGACATTTTCTGAGACCCTTAAGGGGACTGTCTACCTTTTCCAGTGATGGAATACTGCTTTTTGGACAAGTCACTACTATTTTTAGTTCATATATTATTCACAAAAGAACATCGGCTTTATCATAAGCACAAACAGAGAGTGGTTAGGTATCAGCTACGATTCTAATGATTCTTGGGAGCAGAATGAAATATTGGCGGATGGTTAGAGATCAAATTCCTTAAAGCAAGTATGACAGCTCAAAGTGATGCCTTCACTGCTTCCCTAGCATTTGAGAGTAATACACTCCTCAAACTGGAATGTTCTTTGAAATGCTGTAGGAAGTGACACAAGCCAGCTGGGTTGCATGCAGCATAGATGGGTGGAGAGGCTGAGAACATTTGGATTCAGGTAGCGAGAGGTCATCCCACAAGATGTGATGCAAACATAATTTTGAAGAGGATAAGGCACTGAACAAACTAGGGAAGAGTTGAGAAAAGACTGGTATAGCAACCATGCCTAGCATATCCAGATTTGTGGAACTGAACCAAGCTGGGGTATGCTACAGGCTAATCTATGAATAATTACTTCTGTAAAAACATGCGGGTTCAGATGATCTTTAATTTTTGAATGATCTTCAGAAATTGCTTCTTGCCCAAATTGTGAATATATATTAATTATAACAACACCTTATATTATAATTATAGTGTGCTTTTCATTCCAACAGATCCTTAGGCCTTTTACAGCATACGCATAATTCATTTTTGCTCACCTCAGGGCTGAACACAACACTTAATAAAGAGAAGGGACTGTATTAGCTATTAACAAAGGTGATCAGATTTCTTTTCTCATTCCTCGCCACTTCTCTAAGCTTGTTAACCTCTGTTGCAATCACTGCCTGGTGGCAACAATGGGGATGAAAAGGGGAATTGCAATAGGGAATAAGGGAAAAGAACAAGCTCTTGTTATCAAAGCCAATCACAACGTCTCTCACAGTAACCACAGCAGTATTAACTAAATAAAAGTTAAAAAGCACGAGTATTTTAGAAGATAATTATATGATTGTGAAGTGAATGTGTGATTTCTATACTAAAATAATACTTCAAAGAATACTTGGGATGATGCTCTTGATAAAACCATCTGCATCTTTGCTATAGCCCCCCGGCAATTCAGGGTAACCGTTTCAAAGTAATGCCATATTAATGTAACTCTGGTTGCACTGAACCTGCTAGAAACAGAGGCAGGAAAATATGTTTGTACTATTTTGGCTATAGTGACAATAACAGTAAAACCTTTATGACAGCACACAGTCATTCAGCATGTCAAAAAGACAGAACAAGATTAAGACTCTTGATTTTGAAATTAAGGTCCAAGCTGATGACCCAAATCATGCACAATAGCAATTATAATATTACACTATTTTTTCCCATCAGAAATGACTCATAATATTGAACAGTTCATCCTTCTGCCTAGACAAAAGTATTCTCTGGGAACTGACAGCAAAGTAAGCATTGAAAGGAAGCATTCATGTCTTTGAGGTGTAAACAACTCTGCCTCTAAATATTTCCAACTTCAATACTCACTATTATGCTTGAAGATTCTAATAGTAGCACCTGAAAGCCTTGCACCAAGAACGAGAGAAGTGTGGTTCAACTCATCACTTAAAATGAGGCAGCCCTGTGGAGAAGGAGTACAATAAGCATCTGCATGAATTGGGAGGCTGTTGACATGCGTATATGCGTGCGTGCATGCATGTGTCAGCATACATGTGTGTCTATGACATAGCGTTGCACCAATTAAGCCCTAAGTATTAAACATTAACTAGATTTTCTGCCACTTTTCTGAAGACCCACTGCAAAGGCAGGCAGAAACTGTGGGATCTGATTCTCAGGCTTTCCCACGTGGTGCAAAGGGGAGAAATATTTCCCGTAACTGGAAAGTAGTGAATAACCCTGGTAGAGTTTGATTGCTTTATAGTAAAATAAAATGATGTGGCTTCCTCTATAATCTGTCTACAGTCTATTTTGTGTTGCAAGGAAAATGCAGTCACCACCCCATATATAGAGACTGCATGACAGTAATGTAAGGAGGAGTAATACTGAGGCTGGACTGACATCAGGACTTTGAGCTGCAGAAATGAGATTAGGACCGATTGATGCCTCGTAAAGCCCACTTCCATTAAGATGTGAGTGGAGCCTAGGCACCAGGCAGGGTCTTTCTCTGGTAAATGCATACACAGTTCACCTGTGGTATATTTTTCATTAATTAACTCAATTGAAAACTAATTTTCTTTTTAGAAACTAAAATAGAAATGCAGAAGAAATAACTTTGTATGTTACATTAACAGCAGCCAGGATTCACAGTTGAAATTCAAGCTGGAACCATAATTTAACTCTCCTTTCTATTACATATCTTGTGCTGTGGTTTCATTACCCAAAGGGCAATACAACATTAAGTAAATATGTATTTTGGAAACACAGATTATGCCTAGGTTGAGAGATACTCACACAAATCTGCCTAAAGACTGGTATGCAGAACTAACAGTAAGAGTATATGCATCTTGGCAAGAAAATGTAGCTGCTAGGCTTAATTAGACAGGAAAATGTAGGAATAAATCTCCCCAACATAGGGCAATTACATAATATCTGTAATACATATATTAAAATACTATATAATATTATATACTAGATTGTTATAGTTATATTCTATATAATAAATATAGTAATATCTTTATTTGTGTCACTTAGATATAAGTATCCCACCACTGTACAGAGGCCTGAGTCTCCACATGCGGCCAGCTAAGTGAAGGAAAGTTATTTTATAGCTAAGCACGGGACAAGTATCCTATGCTGTTATGTGTGTCTGCAATTTCATAAATTTACCTTTATTAATTCTCTGTATCTGCTGCCTTTGAAATTGCTGGACAACTTGTCCAGCACCATTGCAGATTGAAGGTCATGTTCTGGGCAGCTGAAGCAATTCTCCCTGCACAACCCTCACGTACATGTATTTTAGAAATCTCTTGCAAAAGCTGGATTCATCTTCAATAGTAAAGAAGTGACTTCACCTCTAGGCCAGTGTTTCAGAAGAAATCTTGATCATACACCACACAGTGAGTTCACTCCATCTCCACCAAGCGGGAAATACTGTTTTGCACTTGCATGAGGAGCTACCCATTTTCCCAGCTAACAGCACAGTGTATCTGCTTCTTACGTCAGGAGTTGTGATTGACAGGATGATGGATTTTCATGCCTTTGCATTAGGTACCCCAAATTGGAGATGAAGTCCCTTCAGCACCAAACAAGAACCTAACTTTTGTCATACGGTCACAACTTTAGACTTGCATTTGCTGCCAGCTTTCTTTGCAGGGCTAGCTGGATATCTGTTGATCAGGAATGCTAAACACTGCGCTTTCTCTTTTTTGAAAATGTTGTAAAAAATAAACTAATCATCATCTTTCACCACAGGGAGCTGGGCAATATCTATGCAAGTAGCCTGAATACTTCATCCCACAACACCTGAGACACAGGATGCAAAATTTGCTTACTTTTTAGGGAGAAGCAACTTCGTTAAGAGAAGCTAAACAATCATATCACTCATCCTTAAATAGATGTTAGGTATGTGTGATAACAACACCTAGAGCTAGGAAAAAATGATGAAGGAGCATATTTATGGTCACAAGGTCATCAGCCTCATGACTCATGCATTCCTGATATCAAGCTTAGTTCCTCCATCAAGACTTTCTGCTTAATGTATGCCCAGAATACTGCAACACTAGTTAAAACAATTAATAAACGATTGCTCTATGTGTTCCTTAAGGAAGTACTCACCTTCCCAACAAGGGCTGGAATATTCATCGAGTTAGTTGCAAAGCCCATGCCAAACACCATAGCATCTTCCACACCAAGGAACTTGGCCACAAGTTTCTCTAGTTCTACATGTTTGTCTAGGGTGCCTGCAGAAATAAGCACAGATCTTAAATCTCATTAAACCGTGGAAGTTATTAATTGTAAGGACATAAAACATACAAAAGAACAGGTTAGAAATGTGTCATTAAGTTCTAATGAAGGTTTTCCGTTTGTATCTTGAGCATGTGGGGTAATGCAGGAAAAGGCAAGGAGACAAATCAGCTGTAACTAAAGCTAAGAAATACTGTTGCTGTTAAGGTAGCAAAGCAGTTGCTTTGGGAAAAAGTGTCCTTTTCCCATGACAACAACTTTTGGCATAGTTTATTCCGAAGAGTAATTTTTTGCCTTTATTTCCCCCCACAATGAGGACAAAAAAAAAATCTCCTTTTTATAGGAAACATGGGACAAACATCTCAGGCATTCTTGAGTTCTCTCTGAATGTGAAAGCAAAAACCCACGACAAGATCCTTCCATTTTTTCTTGGGTGCCTATGTATGTGTACAAAATCCTTAATTAGGATTTTTATATGCATAGACAAACAAAAGCGTTCTCCATCTTTTTCTGCTTTGGAAGATAAAAGCTCTGCCAACTCTCCATAACTGATGATAACTCTCCTCTTTCCTCCCTCTCAACAGTCAAACAACAACGATAAGGCAACACTAGAGAGCCTTCTTTATCACATGTTACTTATCTAATATTAGTGCCTGAGTGTCCAAACAAATAAGGTGCTCCAACTAAAGCAGTATCTTTCCCACCCAACTCACAAAGGAGGATGACAAAACACAAAAAGCAACAAAGGAAAGACTGGTGTTAAGAGACTGAGATAACAAATAACTTTGAACGTGAATGAATCATCTCAACTTGCCAGCTCTCTAGTCTTTGGTTGCCTGGCTGTGCATTGCAGGTACCAAGGCAGTAGGAACTCTTACAGGATGATCTGTGGGGAAGAAAAGAGAGTGGCCTGTGGATTCTGACAAAGCATTTCCCCTATGAATAAGGCTGTAAGCAGGGACCAGAAGAAAAAAATTAGGGAAGTGAATCTCTCACCTCACTTGCGCTGCACAAATTGACATCTCAATAATATAGGCAAAGTGAATTACAATTGATGGGAACAAGAAATCTGTGTTCACTGTGATGGACAAAGGGCAGATGAATGGAGGAAAGTACAAGCTTAGCCAGAGTGTCTTGACAAGAATGATGAGTCAGGAAGATGATCTTACCTTCATCATGGAGGAAAGCTCATTTAAAAAAAAAAAAATCAAATAAAAATGGCAGCAGTACAGTTTCAGCAACAGTACTAACTCAGCTGGTTACAGTGAATGTTTTCATTTTTTCTTGTTAAATATCCAAAGTAAGAATGGCATTCACTTGGAAACAGAATGTGAAAAAACATGCAGGCAGGTAATTCTCCAATAGCCAGGGAGAAAAGGAGCAAGGATCATGTGGCTTTTGGAAAAACCTCGATTACATGGACAGTAAAGAACAGTGGTGTCGTAGTTTTGCTCAGAGCCTGCCTCCGTTTTACTAGACCTCAGCCAGCTCCGGCAGAGCTTGAAGAGTGTCTCTGCACACATTGTACTGCACTGGATGTACATTTTGCTGGGCTGTCTCTAGGTCTGTGCTCTGATAAGTTCAGTAACATGACACATGAAAATTAGGCGCTGCAGAACCTCCTGTAGATGTGAGCTGACTCTGCATGAAGCTCTTTGAGGATGGCTGCTTTTTGTATTTGTAGATTCTGAGATACACATGGATAGGTGCTGGCTCTGTACACAGCCACTGCTTAGTAACCAAGCTCTGTGAAGTACAAAATCACATAGTGTTTCAGAGTTGAGCTGCTCACTGGAGATGTGGGTGAGAATCTATGTCTTAACTTGTAAGCCCAGTAGGTCTCAGGGTGTATTTCTATGGTTAGTTCTATATTTTTTGCATTTTGGGCCCAGTTAGTCTTCAACCTGGTTAACTCATTGACAACTGAGGGTTCCAGCGCAGTCAGCTGCCCTAGTGTTCCCTGCAGACATTATTTTGTCACTTGAGGGCTATCAGCACACAAAGAGAAGAAGTAATTTAAAATGGAAGCTTGAAGCCAACCACACTGTGGTCACAGCTTGAATTAGAAGGAGGTATGTGAAAGCATGAGAAACAAGCAGTGTGTGCTTTGCAAGGCAGGCATTTTAAAGCATGAGAAAATTGTCCCCAACTCTTCCAGGGGTAAATCTGACACTACTGGGGTGGAGTTGAAGTGCTCTTTGGGGTTGCATCATATGTTTTCTGTTTTTGAAAACAAGAAAAGCCTGACTCACTACAGATTATTCTGTTCAAGCATCTATTAGATGAACCAGAAAGGAACAGGACATTTTTGATGTATTTTTGCTGGTTTTGTGATGGTAAAGAACAAGACATTCTGAAAGTGACCAATTCCTACTTATTATTTACTAATCCTGACAGTGAGTGCAGATGATATTGTTTACCACTATTGCCTACAAATCCTGGAATACGGGAGTTTGGTTTGCAAAACCAAAACCTGAATGACAAGGACTTGCAAAATGAGCCCTAGTTTTGAATTAATTTGATGATAATGGCAATATTAGGTGGTAGGTGAGGTGCCACAGAAGTGGTACAACACACATCAGTACCGACAGTGGGAGGTTTGTGACGATGATACGTATTGAGTAGAGTTGATAAAGCATATCACCTTGCATTTCCCCAAGTTTAAGGTAAAAGGGTATTTATTTAATAAATTACACAATTATTTAGTCATATCAGATTTCTCAAGTGTGGGTCAGTCCTTGGACAGCATATAAACTGCACCAATTATTTCACTTCTCTCCATTGGAGGAAAGAAGGGGTCAGATAAGGTCTGCTGGAATGAGGCTTGTCCACTAGTGTTCCCAGCTGGTCACAGCAACCACCCCAAGAAGCATAAACAGCACTACCAGACAGATGCAAGTATGATTCAAAGGAACTTCTGCTGGCACAAGCTGCTACATCTCAAGCTACATAAGAAAGGCAGTAATTACGCTGGTCTTCATTAAATACAACCTTAGTGGTGTCAAGTCAGGTTATCACGGCCCTTAAAATGTCTTGTATAGTGCTGAATTCAGACCAGCATCATGATCTGGTGAAAAGTTATATACTGGATATATTTTATTAATACACTGTATACACAGATACCTTCTACACTTGTCCTACACAAAGACATTAGAATTTTTCCCCATACTCTACCTGCATTGATTTTTATGCTGACTACAGCTTGGTTTGACCTGAGAAATGAGAATACAACTAAATAATGTATGCCATCTTACCAGGAAAGATTTAAGATAAAAAGGAAAAGATAAAGCTACCTGCATCTTTAAGAGACAAAATAGAATTATTTCTTTTGAAAGTTGTTCCAAGTCATATGCAATAGTGTACAGCAGGTGTTATGGAAAGTAAAATCTAAGATCTTATCAAAAGTGGACTTTCATAATGTTAGCCACCTCCACAGGTTTCCACACTTTTCGAAGCAAATCCTCTCCTTTTCAAAATCTGATGACCCAGTTCCCTTCATTAACTCGCCACTGCACTCTGGGGACAGGGAACAGGAAGCAGACTCTGCTTGGGCAGGCTTTCATAGGCTTACCCATGCTCTTAGGGTGAAAGTCACTGTCAGTCTACCTGACAGATAAAGCTTGAAAATACGCTTCCCGTGATTCACACAGTTCACCATTTAGCTTTAATAATTTCGGCTTGGACAAGGTGGTTTATGCCACTGGTTAGTCTGCCCAATACAGTTTTTCAGGTTCTTATGTGCTAATGACATGTACTGGTTAAACTGCCAACACTGGCAACAGGATCCTTTAATAGAATTTTTTGTTTGGAATTCTGAGACCCAAAGATGACTGGAAATTACCTGCTTGCTTCAAGATAAACAAAAGCTGGAGGAATAAAACTGATACAAGCAACAAGTCATTGAAAGAAAAAGAACAGATTCCCATAAAAGCCACTTCCACATATGAACACCAACTGGGAATCCTGTAGATCACTGATGTGACTCACCAAGGTGAATAAGAACCATCACTCTATGAAAATGATGGTTTGTCAGAGGCATCCTTAGGAGTGTGGGGAACAGAACAAAACACATAAACTTGCCTACCACATTTGAAACTTAAGGTCACAAAGTCTGGTAAGATATTTGTCAGAGATGAAAGAATAATATTACTGAAGCACGTACGCACTTTTACAAAAGCCAGACTGGATGAGTTATTACCAGAAGGATGAAGAAACAGAAGACATAGAAAGTGTATTATTGATTTACACCATTCTGCACCAAGAGTGGATGATGCAGGTGGTATCACTGTCCAACAGAGCCCACTACAAGAGCAAAGCCTGAACTTGTTGAACAATACTTACTGGTAAGAGAGAGGGAGAGAAGCACACAGTAATGTTATGTAGTTGCCTCATTTAATACTGCATGTGCATAAATGAGCCCCAGGACAAGTGGGTTTTGAGGAAGCATTTGAAAGAAAGAAAATGCTCAAGCTTTCTTAATGTTGCTCTCAGCTGATAGGACTTTCATACTAAGAAGATGCTGCAGGTGTCATAGATATAACTACGTACCTGCGTAATTTGCTGATTCTCAGAAACAAGTAGATTAATTTTAAAAAAACTTCCAGTTTAATTTAGATCTTCCAATTTTGTTTGCTTTTTTCCTTTATAAAAACACAAGGCTAAAATTTACAGTTGGAAGTCCAGCCTCTTCATGCCAAAGCCTGGATGGCAGCATCTCTAAATGTCTAAATATTTGCATGTACATAGATAACATTATACATTAAAGATATTTTAGGTTTTAAATAGGTCACTCAACCCTTAGTTACTCCTGATACCTTCAGTTCCACCTGTCAGAAGATGGACTGTCCGGAGATTAATCACGCTTTGTAAAGCATACTTTTGCAATGGTGAAATACCAGGAACGAACTAGATCATAAGTTAGATCATTTATTTACGAGAGGGTAGGCACAAAAGGGAAGATGATGTTAGTAGGAGACAACACAGAAGGAAAATTCCT